GTCTATATATAAAAGAAAAAAAAGTGTTCATGTTAGGTTTTAAAAAAGAAAAGAAAATCTACTCAAAATGTCCCATTTGTTGTTCTTCTTATTCTCTTGCCAGCCTGAAACAAAACAACTTGGTATATTGCACCCAAACATTTTGTAGAATACTAAATAGGGTGCTATGAAGGTCATAGGGGTATTGATAAGTCAACTTGTTTTATCTGTATTTTACATAAGCTAAAAAACATGATAATTCTAGTGTAAACAATGTTATCATTACCCATTGAAATTAGCTTTTTTACAGATATCTTGTGTTCCTTTAAAAAGCTTAAGTACAGGGTCAAACAGGAATTACCAGTCAATAATTGATGAACATTAGATGACTGTAACATGTAGATACTCACTGCTTTCTACACTATACAATTGGTGTTTTTAGGGAGCCAACCCCTATATTATGTATGAAGTGGAGGAGTAACAAACAAATCAAAACACATAATATAAATTTCATTACACAAATTTGTAGAATAATTACCTTAAAAGACATGAAGTTTTATTTAAAGTAATGCTTTAGATGTATATGTTTTATTTGAAAAGGCTGCTGTTCTATTGACAAAATGTATCTCCAATAATACTTACCTCCACTGACACTTTAGCTATTCCTCAACATTGGCTTTGCCTATCTAAGTATTGGTCTCACATGCTCCAGTCTTTTACACCCGACTTAAATGCCTTTGGCAATATCTAATTTGCAAATTCCTCAACCTGTGTCAATGAGTCCTCTATCCTGATACTGTATATAAGCACCTCACTCATATAATGTAATCACTTTTTCTTTACAGAGCGTTGGTCATGGTTTTGTCTGATGAAGTGCTGTGGTTCGTTCCTTTATGGATTGCGATTTTTGCATCGCCTTGTGGACTTCAGTATAATTATAATTTCATTTACACACAAAAAAAAAATGGATGTGATGTTTGTGGGTATGAATTCCCATATTACTGTTGTCAGCTCTGTGGTTAATCTGACCTCCCCTATTCTTCCAATGTTATCTAGCATATCTTTACAGTCAGGGAGGGGAGTGACACTCAGTTGAGACTGTTAGTGTGTTGATCCATTGGGGGATGGAGACATACATTTTTTGAAATTAATTTTAATTCATTATCCTATATTACTTCTAAATTACCTGTTACTTTATGATTATAAAAACTGTCCTTAAATTCATTGTTACTATAAATACAAAGTAAATTATCTATTTCTAAAGGAATAAGTTCTTCAAAGATTTTTTTTTTTAAGTATATAAATATATATTGTGTGTTTGTGTAGATATATATGAAAAGAAAATAGCTTCACTCTATTAGTATATTAATTACAGTATTTGTATGTAGGTGATTAAAATCAGCACTATAAAAAAAATAACGAATTTAATATAAATTAAGCCTTAAAATTATTTTCATTTTAAAATTATGTTGCAATTTAGCAGTCGTAACCTTAAAGTCATAACGGAAATTGTCTGTGGTGATAGCACCCAAAAATGTTGGGATATTCCATCTATCAGACAAAATCCAATTCAGATGACAAGCTAGTTAGCAGTTACTTTTTTAGAAGAACTTTTAAGGGTAATTGCTTTCCCACAACTGGCTGCAGACAGGGCAAGGCAGTGGGAGTTGAGATGTTGTGGGTTTAAGCACTCAACTCCATATCCTTATTTGATTTTCTACAATTGCTAACTAGTTTTTCATCTATGTTTGGATTTTGTCTGATAGATGGGATATCCACAACACTTTATCATTCAAATATTTATCAAGCTTTTTCTTAAAGTCACTTAAATTTACTGCAAATTACTGAATTGTAATTAACTTTTGTATAAGGTTTTCTTTATTTATCTACTGGTACCAAACTGACTTGTAATTAGGTTTCGTATATGTGTTTCTTTATTTATCTACTGGTAACAAACTGATTTGTAATTAACTTTTGTATAAGGTTTCTTTATTTATCTACTGGTAACAAACTGATTTGTAATTAACTTTTGTATAAGGTTTTCTTTATTTATCTACTGGTAACAAACTGATTTGTAATTAACTTTTGTATATGTGTTTCTTTATTTATCTACTGGTAACAAACTGATTTGTAATTAACTTTTGTATAAGGTTTTCTTTATTTATCTACTGGTAACAAACTGATTTGTAATTAACTTTTGTATAAGGTTTTCTTTATTTATATACTGGTACCAAACTTTATTTATCTACTAGTACCAAACTTTATTTATGTACTGATGCCAAACTTGATTTATATACTGATGCCAAACTTGATTTATATACTGATGCCAAACTTGATTTATTTGGATTAATTGAATTAACTTTTCTATCTTGTTGTGTCTTATGGTAAATGTTGTGTGAAAGATAATCTGGCATTAGTAGGAAATGAGAAAAATATCTAGTGTTTTCTTTCATTTTTCATTTTCCTCATTTTTTGATATAACTGGTGGTTAATTGAAGTGAATTCTTTATTTGAAAAATGTACAGAAAGTATCAAAGAAGTTAAATCTTTAGGACAAGATATGAAAGTATTTGTTTTGAGAGATATTTAGTTTTTCTTTATTTTAAATTCTTGTAAAGGATTTCTGTTTATGATATTTACTGTGTGTTTATTTCCATTCTCAGCTGCAAGTCTGCACCTTAAGAGCTTTTTCTCTAAGCCTTTTGGAAAACTACTAGAGGCATACAAGTATGTGTTTTTGAATCAAATACAATAACAAAAACTAAAAGTAATGAGTATACATAAAGGATATATATTGCTATTTAGTTCAAGAAAATTTAAAATAGTAGGTAACATTTGACTCATTGTATTTATGGCAGGATAATAGGTAAGTTTGTTTTACCTATTTATGGCAGGATAAGAGGTAAGTAAGTTTGACTAACTGTATATTTATGGCAGGATAGCAGGCAAGTAAGTTTTGATTAACTGTGTATTTATGGCAGGATAAGAGGCAAGTACGTGTTGACTAACTATATTTATGGCAGGATAGTAGGCAAGTAAGTTTTAACTAACTGTATATTTATGGCAGGATAAGAGGCAAGTACGTGTTGACTAACTGTATATTTATGGCAGGATAGTAGGGAAGTAAGTTTGACTAACTGTATATTAATGTCAGGATAAGAGGCAAGTAAGTTTTAACTAGCTGTATATTCATGGCAGGATAAGAAGCAAGTAAGTTTTGACTAATTGCATATTTATGGCAGGATAGTAGGCAAGTAAGTTTGACTAACTGTATATTAATGTCAGGATAAGAGGCAAGTAAGTTTTAACTAGCTGTATATTCATGGCAGGATAAGAAGCAAGTAAGTTTTGACTAATTGTATATTTATGGCAGGATAAGAGGCAAGTATGTGTTGACAAACTACATATTTATGACAGAATAGTAGGCAAGTAAGTTTTGACTAACTGTATATTTATAGCAGGATAAGAGGCAAGTAAGTTTTGACGAACTGTATATTTTTGGCAGGATAGTAGGCAAGTAAGTTTTGACTAACTGTATATTTATGGCAGGATAAGAAGCAAGTAAGTTTTAACTAGCTGTATATTTATAGCAGGATAAGAGGCAACTACGTGTTGACTAACTGTATATTTATGGCAGGATACGAGGCAACAAAGTTCTGAATGTTGATGTGTCAAGTGCGAACCTGCACATGAAACTAATAAAGGTATTGTTTATTATATTTTGTACTTGATGTTTTGGCTTATGTCTTTTTTGAGGGTTTATGAATGTCACAGTCTACAAAACTGATTTTAAATGATAGCAACCAAAAATTATATAACACTACAACAATATAATGGTATAGCATACTATAAGTATTGTGAATCATTATATTGTTGTAGTGTTATATTATTTTCGGTTATTGTCATTTAATGTCTGTTTTCTAACCTGTGATGTTGATAGATTTTCGAAAAAGGCGTAAGCTGAAACATCGGGTTGAACAAATAAACATACATCTGAAGTTTTTTGTGCACAGCTTTCTTTAGTATTCCCTTTAAACAACAGACTGAATTTTTACTAAATGTTTTACGCATGCCAGAAGTATAATTTTATATATACCATGAATTATCACTGCTTGAGAATATGAAAGTATTTTTTGTGATGTGATCCTCTTTCTCAATTTGTGGTTTTATTACTATATTTGTCAATATATTTACTAGGAACAGGTATCCACTATACTTGCTCGGTGCATGTTGAATAATTTTTGCCATCTGCAGCTCAACCTGGTATTTGGGGTGAATTTGTTTACACACCTCTATTGAATCATTAAAAAGTTTAATATTGTAATTTACAATAACATTGTCAAGTTTAACAAAGATAGGATTTTACCTCTGTAACAAAAGATAATTAATATATCTAATAAAATAACAGGACTTATAAATGTGGTAATGAGGTATTAAATTACATCACCTAATACAAACTTTGTATGTCATTGATATCTTATAAACAGTCTTGTTCTTTGTTACCTAACTAACTTTGTATGTCATTGATATCTTATAAACAGTCTTGTTCATTGTTACCTAACTTTGTATGTCATTGATATCTTATAAACAGTCTTGTTCTTTGTTACCTAACTAACTTTGTATGTCATTGATATCTTATAAATAGTCTTGTTCATTGTTACCTAACTAACTTTGTATGTCATTGATATCTTATAAACAGTCTTGTTAATTGTTACCAAAATAACTTTGTATGTCATTGATATCTTATAAACAGTCTTGTTCATTGTTACCTAACTAACTTTGTATGTCATTGATGTCTTATAAACAGTCTTGTTCTTTGTTACC